CTACTACTACTACTACGGCTGCTACTCCTACTACGGCGACGACGACGAATGCGCGCCATTACATTGCTATTTTTCCGGGGCACAAGTACTATCACTACAACATACTGGTGCCATTGTCCACTTCCATTCCGTTTTTTTACCCGACGGGATCGGGAAAAGCAAGGGGGTGGTGGGGGGGCTATAATCATTATCATTTTCTAGCACGATCAGCAGGAATTTCACGACCACGGTACAAGTGCTACCACTGCAAAATAGTGAAGCCATTTCCCATGTTCATGTCATTATTTTCCCTGAAAGGGGTGATGATTGTTTGTCATTACCACGACAAGCAGGGGAATAATGGATCCATTTTCCATGTCCCATCCATTATTTCGTTCAGAGCCATTTTCCATTTCCATTTCATTATTTTTGCCGGGAGGAAGGGGGGCCCAGGGGGGGCGCACGGGGGGTCGATGGGGCATTATTGCTATTCTAGAAGGAAGATAGTCGATCCATTTTCCAGTTCCATTTCATCAGTTTCTTCGGAAAGTTTTTCTTCTGGTGCAAAATAATGGGGCCAATTTCCATTTCTTTATTTTCCGCGCAGAGTGGGCTTGATGGGGGGGAGGCCAATATTCTTTTTTCTAGAAATATGGATCCATTCTCGGTTTCCATTTCACAATTTTCGCCGGGAGAGAATTTGTCCTCTGGCCCAAAACATGGGGCCATTTTCCATTTCCGTTTCGTTTTCTTTGAACGTGGGGGCAGCCATTATTATTCTTCCTAGTAGCAGGACAATAATGGATCCTTATATCATTTTGATACCATTATTTTCTCGGTTGCGTCTTGAAATAGAACCCACCAAGTTGGGCGATGTGAGTCGATGTCGGGACAGCATTTGGACAACGACAAACGTCGGAATGGTCTTGCCATGCACCAGCGTACAGAACCCTGAAACCCGGAGCCACAAGCCCAAAGGCAACTAGGAGCTTCTCCTGCTACGATCCTGCACGAAAGATAACTAAGATAGCTCAGACAAATCCAAATAAATTTGCAAAATCCCTCCCCGGAGACTGACACCCCGAAGAAAGTGATTGAACGCCTCTCCTCCGAAGTTGAGCCTCCAAACAAAGACAAGGTAAAGCTGTGCGTGGGACAACGGCGTAGAATTCCAGACGGTCGATGCACTCGCCGGCCTTACCTGACGTCCGGCCCCGTGGCCTATTGTCTTCAGGCAAAGGCACCTTCCGACTCAGGATGGGACATAAGAAACTCCGGGCTGAATGTTTAGAGGCTGTCTAGGAACTGGTGGAGGTTGTCCCGCCCTGACATCGCAACAGCATGCAAGACTGTGCCCCCAAACGTTGGGCCAACCCATAACTCGTCACACACACACACACTCATTCACTGGGTCCAGGACCAGCCAAATTGAGGAGCTCCTACGCCATGTTTGCTTCATGGGCATGAGCGAGGTCATGGTGAGTGGAAAGAGCAAGCATGCGCGACAGGGCCTGCGACACAAGGTGGGGATGGTGGGCCACCCCACCTCAAGCGGAGCGCTGCAGTTTCCGATCAAGCGACAGATCGACGGGGCCACGTACTGATTTTAAAGTTGAGAACCAACGCCCGCCTTCCAAACTTCCCGCCTCCTCACCGGTCAAATCAACGGGTCATCCAATTTTCACGTGTTGCCTACATGCTGCATGTCTCACGCCACTCGGCAGAGCGCGCCTTTGGGCGACCTGAAGACAGCCAAGCACCGCTTTTCTGGCAGTCCGGCAGCTCAAGCCCTGACCCCCGGCTAAGCATTCCGGCCACGGTGCTGCAGAATTGCAAGGGCTGCCGTAACATCCTGCATCGGCTGAACGAAAGTACGGCACAAAACAAGTTCAGGACCAGGACCGAAAGAATCCGTCATTGCTGTCATTCGTTCCCTTTTTGAAGTACGCAAGTTGCTGTCGTAATCCTTGTAATTATGAGGCCAAGTGGTTTCCTCTTCTCGACATGTTGTTTGCGTGCGCCGGCACGTTCTTATGAGCTAGTGATAGATCGATAGATAGATGGATAGATAGATAGATGAATAGATAGATAGATAACCAGATACATAGATGGATAGATAGATAGATACATAGATAGATAGATAGATAGATAGACAAATATACATAGATGTCAGCAAACACGATCCAAATGGCACACAGAAAGTAGAGTGAGGTGGATTTTCTGAAGAGTTCCCCAGGGCCGCACCCTTCGGTGCAGCCCCCGGTTCGTACAGTGGAAAAAGCGGCACCGTGGTGCCTGGAGCAAAAGACCCGACCGCAAATCGGTGCAGTCATGGGGAACTCTCTCAGAAGCTCACCGTGCGCCGAGCAGGCCATAGGTGAGCCCCGTAGATCAGCGTTCCAGAATAGAGGCGACTAGTTCAAACTGGTGCCACGCATCTAGGACAGAGAGGCGCTTGTCCGGCGTGAAACCAGTGAATCCAGGGTGCGTCAGCGAGTCAGCCCATTGGTTCAAGTCCCTCTTCACATGGCTCGGGGCCAAAAGGCACCCCTGCCGGTGAATCAGGAGCATGAGCTCCATTAACAGAGCTGCAGACGGCAGCTTCCTGGACTTTCCATCCAGTAGGGAGTAAACGTTGCCCTGGTTATCAGAGAGCACAAGGATGAGAATAGGGCCACTGTCTCGGCCCCGTTTCTCCAACAAGCAAGGAGGCCATCATCTCGAGAGCCGCGATGCGACGTTTTGCTGTTCGTAATCCAGCCGCCAATGTGGGCTTTGAAATCATCTGCTCCAGCATCGCTGGCTCCCCACCAGGATGATGTGGGGACAAACGGTGATATCTGGGCATGCGGTTCCTCAAAAAGCCGCTTGAGGAGTGAAGCTAATGCTTGGATCACTTTGCCAGGTTTGCCCGAGGTGATGCAGGCCTGCTTCCAGGCCCACAGCGGTTGCATGAGGCTCTTCGTAGCCGGGCAGCACGTGGTAGCCCATTGGATTCTACCCAAGCCCTTTTCGATGGCCTTCGAGGTGAAGACTTTACCCTCCTCGAGGTCCTCAAGAATCTTCATGACCAGCAGGAACTTATCTTTGGCCAGTTGGACCGAGGGGACCGACGGGTCAATGACAAAGCCGAGCCATGTGTTGATTTCGGCCATCAAGGTCTTCTTCCAGCTGAGCGGGGTCCCCAAGGAGAGGAGGACCGGCATTATTGCCGTCGCCATCTCGGCTGAGGAATCCAGCCTTCAGCAGCCAGAGGAAGTCGTCGACAAAGACAAACTGCCAGTCCAGTTCCGGGAAAAGTGAGTAGAGGATGCGCATGAAAAGGGCCGCATCCTCCCCCAATACAGCTGGGCGCTAGCCATGCCATAGGTGCCCACCTTGTTGACCCACCACTCAGTGCCCAGCTTGGCTACCTCGCCGTCCCTTCTTGGTGACCTTGATGCGGCGGTGAGTCCGCCTCCAGGACTATCCATCGCGTGCCAGAAATAGGCCAAGTCCACCCCCTTTTATCGGGGCCAAGGGCACCCTCAGGGGGTTCCCAGCCGCAGCCCTGAGCCAATGGATCGCACGCAGGCAGTCCATGACCGTGGATGCGGTGGTCTTCTCTTTGGTATTCTGTTGGATGTGGGCGTTGGCGCCGTTCCTGGAGCCGTCGTAGATGGTCCGGATCTTGTCCGACTCTTCTATGCCTGCCAAAGGTCCTGGGCAAAGTTCATGGATGTCACAGCCACATCAGCCGCCTGTTCTTGTGTCAAGGGACCTTCCACCATTTTCATGGGGACCTCTGCTAGGAACGTTGCCTTGATGCTCTCCTGGAACTTCTCGGCTGACGGGTAGTTCTCCCATCCTTGCGGAGGTGGAGGTGGGTCCTCCTCCCAAGGCTGACCGCGAAGCTCTTCCTTAGTGGGCCACACTCCTGGCGTCTCCCACGTTGGCTCTTCCACGTCCAGGGCACCCCGTGGGCCACCTTGCTGGGATAATCCCAGTCTGGGTCACCTGCATCCTTGGCCAGAGAGCTGATCAAATCCAGGTAAAGGGCTGGCCCTCAGCCACTGTGTGCAAGGCTCCTCGGGCGAGCGTGTCTGATCTAGGGCACGCCGGGAAAGGGTGGCAGACGTCACCCTGCCTGATAGACAACAATGGTGTCCTGCCATAGGCCCGCCAGACTCAAAATGGCTTGGCCTATCAGATGGCCGATCATCCTAAGTCTCCCTTTCCCTCGCAGGCGCGGTGGCAATCGGCCAGGAGACACCTTGCCTCCGCCGCCCCGCAGCGGTCTGGTCCTGAGGCCGGAACGTACTTGCAGGTCCCTGCCCAAAAGTCCTGGAGAAGCCCACATTGGTGACGTGTCAGGTCGATCAGTGGTGGGGGGAGCATTCGGGCTTCTCACTTCAGGCAGCGCCTGGTGAGAGGGGGGGTGTTCGGAGGTCTGGGTTTCAGCATCCAAGAGGCGCTGCGCGCGTCCCTTTTAGTGGAGGAACACTACGCGTGTCTTCCCCAGATCGGTCCTGTCCGCCCAGGCACACACCCGGCACTGTTTCCATACCTGCCTGTCGGGGCCATTTGTGGTGGGGAACAGCCCTCTGATGGTCAACTCTGGTCGCATCGGGCTCTTCCAATGCTCATCACCCTTCCACGGACGAGCCTGCGATAAAGCCGGCATCGAAGCTGACGCCGCGCTCCCTGCGGCCCGCGGCCCTGGCAGGTCTTGTCTCCCTCGTTGCTCCCGATTTCTCGTGCGAGCCATGGTCGCATCGAAGGTCCTGCCAGTGATGAAGCCGAAGGTCGGTACACAGGCATGTTTGATTTCTGACAGACCTGCCCCAAATGGCACTGGTCAAAGGAGACCAACTCGAGGCCAAGAGAGGGCCTCCAAGTCCGGAAGGCTCTCGTAATCCAGAGCATGGAGCAGAGCTGTGCATTCGGGGATTTGCTGCACACGGCCGGGTCCTCCGGATGTTCCAGGAAAGACGCTGGTTTCCCGAGGTAGGCCAGGCTTGTGATGAGCATCTGCCTAAGGACCAGTACGCTCTCGTCATCGACGGAGAGCCTCAAGCCCCCAGAGTTGGTCCTCGGATCTCCCTCTCACCGGGGGGGGCATGCCCGGCTTTGGGAACCATCTGACAATGCTCCATGTGCGGCAGTTCGGGCTATGTCACCTCTGAGAGCTGCATCACAGAGAGAGTCGTATGGTTCCGCAGACAGCATGCTGGACCCATGTGGCAGGTCCTTTCGATGAATCTCGACGACCACAAATTTGTCCGTAAGTCCGACGAACGAGTCTAAGGCCGAGGCATCGTCCTTTCCAACATAGAGCATGACAATGAGGTCCTTGCCAGGGAAAGGAGTCTTAGAAAGGGTCCAGCTAAGGCGTTCCCGAAGACGATCAGGAAGTTCATTAGTCCAGGGAAAGATCTGCTCACCTTCATGATGAACTGTAGTGGCTTGAGGGGTGGACTGGCTCCCTTCCATTCAGCGGATCTTGGCATCCATCCCAACAGATCTGAGGCATAAGAACTTCATGTTGCATGCCCCCTTCTTCCGGATCGCACTCTCCATTTCCCCCCTTATCGGGACCAGAGGCACCCGCGGGGGGAAACTTCACTTGAGGAGAGAGCAGTTCTCTGGAGTGTGATCGGTAGCCGGCTTGTTGCACGTCCATCCGTCTTTGATCAGAGGGCAGTTGTGGGAACGGCCACAGTTCCCTTTGCCATTCTTGCGGATGTGGAAATCACCGCAGAACTGGACCCCCCGGTGGTTCTGCGTAGCCCAGCCTTGGGGCCAGTCCTTAGGGGCCTTGCCGCCACCCTTAGTGCCCTTCTTCTTTTTGCCCTTGCCGTTGCCTGGCTGCAGGCCACTCCCCTGCTGTTGGCCTGTCCACTGCTTCTGGTCCTGGTTCTGTTTCCAGGTCTGGACGGGGGACCAGTAGGGTGTTTTGTACCCTTGGCCTTTCCAATCCTTTCCTTTTCTTGGGAGCTTGCCTTTGCCTCCCCCTTTGCCACGCCCTCCAGAGACCTGTAAACGCGCGCTTTGAGGCGGTTTCAAGCTTGCAATTTTGCTGGCAGGCGCAGGACTTTCAAGCATTTTTCATTGGAAAAGGTGCAAAAGTACGTATTCGCGCATGTGGCAGCTTCAGGGGTTTATGGCCGCAGACCTTTCGGCCTCAAAGCAGCTTTTCTTGCCATGGAGCCCGCTGAGGACCCCGCGGAGTTGGCCATGGAGCGGGACTGGCAAGCCAACTTGGCTGCAGAGGAGGCCGCGCGGCAAAAAGCCGAGGACACGACCCGCTGAAAGAAGAGCATACGATTACCAGAGCATCCATGCCCAAACCATAATAACGTTCGTGTTTCGAGAGCATACGACTACCAGAGCATCCATGCCCAAACCATAATAACTAATAACGTTAAAACAAAGGCAGTTTTTGCACTGCTTTCCTCACCTCCCGAAGCTTGAAATCACAGGCAGAGCCAGTAGATCCTGCGCGCGCGCACATTTGCACGGGCGTGAACAGGTCCCTGGGGCGTTGTTCTAATTCCATCTAGAATCACAAAGGCACCAAGTTCGTCGAAGGTCACGCACGAAAGCCTTGCGTTTTCCGATTTGAACGACACGAGTAGTGCTGGATCCGTTGCGACAACTTCGGGCAGAAGGCTGTCGGTCTCCCGACTACACATCGGTGCATCGGATACTTGCTGCCAGGCGTCTAGCCGCATCTCCAAACTGGGCCGCTTGGGGGCTTTGGGGATTGACTTCTGGGGCTCGGAGGATAGACCAGAATGGATTCTCAGTTTAAGCCTTGCTATGACGGGCGCCGCTTGAAGAGTTTGGGTGGCTGCGTTAAGCCTCTCAACGTCACTTGGAATAGGCACGAGAAACCAGTGTTCGAAGGAAAGCTTTGACCCCACCTCAATCAAGTTCGGACGTTTCCGAACGTGGAGTCCTACGAGTACTGCCCGATGAATCGCACCTTGAGTGTGTGCTGTAAAGGTTTGCTTCGGCTTTCAGCCGTCAACGTGCACCCGTTTCTTCACACCGTGAGCTCTGTCAAACCATCGTCGAGCGTCCGACATCTTCAACGTGAAAGTGACTACCCCTGCGACTGTCCCCTACCTACCCGGAACCTTGCGAACCGCCGGATGAAATCTTCTGCAGCCGGCCAACAGATTCCAACTTCCGGAAGTCGGCTAAGCGGACCTCTGGGAGCACTCGGCATATCGGGGCTCGAGGGCCTCAAGGGTTGCACCGGGCTGTGGGTCCCTAAACTGGAAAGGTCTGGGACCTCGGATTGCGGTAGGGTCCGGACTGCAGCTCCGGGGATGAAGGGAAAGTTGTGACGTGCTGGTCGCGATTTCGAAGGCCCAAGGACACTTCTGAAAATTCTAGTCTCGGCCTCAGAAATTTATGACGAAGGCCCCTCCATTGATGAGATCAGAGCCCGGTCAAGAAAACATCATGGCCCAATTTCTGCGGGGCATGATGATGAGCCAAGGCAGCTCTGCAGTTTCAACTCAACTGCGGTTATACACTCCCTTTGCAACCTGGACACACACGTCATCATGTGGGCTACTTTAACATGGCTTTGTGTTTGCTTCACACTCCCATGCCCATGGCCCTGCCCGTTTTGTAAGCCCAGGCACGGCAGAACAGATAATCGGCAAGGAGTCCTCATCTTGTGCAAAGAGTGTTCGAGCATTTGGAAAGTGGCTCTACACCACGCAGCCCAAGCTCAAAAACACTGGGTGCATAGACATAACAAAGATACGCGCTTGCAGGCGCAGTTACGAGAATCTTTCGGACTTCAAAATCGGAAGTCAACCACAAGTCACCAGAAGAATTCTGCTCACGGCACGCCTTTCGAAGACAGCATGCGACTCAATGCTGAACCAGCTCCAAGAAACTCAAAACAGGACTTTTGGAAATGAGGGGGTACCTTATGTTGGGGGGTCCTTACATAATAAGGATCCTACTATTTAGGGTGCTGTTTTAGGGGTCCCCTATTTTCGGAAATGAGGCCCAAAGCTGAAATTCCCGTGGGATGCTGCGGCCCAAGAGTCCATTGAGCGGCCTCGAATAACGCGCACGGGAAAGCAGTCGAGCCTCAGGACTTCTTTGGAGGAGCTTATGGCTTATAGGGTTTAGGGTTTAGAAAGCTTAGGGGTTTTTTATGGTTTAGGGTATAGTGTTGCAGACGCAGGCTTCACACTGCGACAACTCTCTTGAAAGCTCAGAAGTTTGCGAGTTTCGGATTCCAGTGCCACTTTGCAAGCCATCAATATGGCCAGCATGAACCATGCCAGGAATACAGTCCAATCGTTGCAACAGAGACAAGTTTCTGACTCCTTCCAAAAAATGACGGATGTGCTGCAAGGCACATTTCATGCTGATCGACGTGCAGGTGCTGCGGGCGGGCCATCACTCTGTGATGCGCGAACATCTACTTAGATCTGGCTGGCACGTCACGATGCTTTGCCCGCGCAGGTTTCCGTACAAAACTTGGATGGTCAACATTCCTCGTCTGGGAGTCCAGGCCGTGGGGCCTGCAACATAGGGCCTAGAGGGCTCACAAGCGTCACGTGGGGCATCTGGGATTGCCGGCGTCATTTGAGGAGTCATACAGAAGTCGAGAAGATCTCCGTCCAACGAGAAAAGGAACTCTCCAGATCCATCATCCACGCCCAAGGATGTAGAGTTTACGGCTCAGGGTGTGGGAGCTTGGGGTTACAAGCACAGTATTTGGGGTTGCCCTGAATCCCAAGCCTCCAAGCTTGATGCCAAGGTGCAGTTCTTCTGCTCTGGGCAACATTCCGAGGTCTACCTCTCAATCCCCCGAGGATTGAACACTGAACGCCTGGCACCTCCACTTAACCTACTGACACCGGGGGTTGAAATTTGGGTAGCAAGGTGGACATCATTAATTTCAGGCTTCGTTTCTAGGAAATCGGAGCTCACTGGAGCAGAGGAGAGCAATGCACGCAATGATGAACGCCGGGGAACAGAACGGAAAAGGACTGGAGCATCTCGCCTTTCTGTTGCATGAAGTTAAGCCAGCTAAGCTTGCACATGCGAGATCGCTCTGTGTTGGTCAACTATTTTGAGCATTGGAGGCTGGAGGGGAAATCTGCTGCCACCAAACACGGCCCAAGAGCTGCTGTGTGAAAATGTGCTTACGACACAACACACTCTCCCGAAACGTTGAACCTCCATTTTCAGCAGGCACCTCCTCGCATCCGCCGAGACGGTCACGAATCTCCTGCTGACATCGCCGCTGTCAGCGCAAATACGCTGCAACATGTCCATGCAAGACCAGGCTCCTTGACGGGCGACTTCGAGATCAAGTCCAACCTCAGCGACCGAAACCCTGAAGCCACTCGCACCCCGACCGAAGCTTCGGGCTTCGACTTCACATGAGCAGATCCTTCTTTAGGAAGAACACGAAGGAAGGGCCCGAAACCCAAAAACCATGTATCAACGAGGGTTCTACAGCGGAGGTCCCAACACGAAGTCATTTGCTGGCAGGGCACCGATATTCGATTGCCTGCACACACAAACAGAATCCAGTTACAGTTACACGTGTGCATAATTGCGCGGGACTGCCAGGATCTGCCAGGCATACATGCATCATGCATCCGCGCACATACATACGCGCATACACATACCCACCAACCTCACTGCCGGGTGCGGGGGAGTAACGGGAACCACTTTGGGGAGTAACGGAAACCACTTCTGCACACCGCAACGGAAACGGGCACTAGTAGAAACAGTCACCGCGCTCCGAGCGTAACAGAAACTATCCCTGGAAAGCCAAGCAGCGGAAACTATGTTGCAACTCTTCTGTGGGGGACCAGTTTTCGGTCCCCTCACGCCGATGTTTCTTTGTTCGGTTTTAACATGTCGAAGAATGGCTCAGGATTGAAGGCTCAATGCTAAAGTTCATCTGTCCAAAGCAACCCTCGTCGTGAATTTCTGATGGCTCGAGCTGAATTTCAGCTGAATAATGTCGGAAAGGCATGCTGGGATCGTAGGTCGGAATCCCTGTAAGTGGGGGGCCGGAAAGCGGTCCCTGAGTTGGGGAGCCAAGAAGAGATGCTGGATGCGAAAGTAAGTCTTGGCGCCCTTCCCCCAGTTCCTGTTGCGAGGGCCTGCTCACGGGCTGTTAAGGGAACCGGCCGGTTGCTGTTACGGTGTTGGGCTCTGTTCCTGTTACGGGTTCCCGTTACGGACAGCCTGTTCCCGTTGCGGAAGGTACTCCTGGCTGCCTACGCAGCCATATACGTGAACACATGCGAAGCCTTCTAGCCTTCTTGTAATAGGCACGCCTCGGCATTCCTCCTCCCAAGATGCACCCCCGGCCTTTCGCATGAATCGCGCCGCTTCTTGGGGATCGCCGCTGTGCCCTCAGGGTGACAGGGCCATGGTCTCTGTGGAATTGGGGCTGGAGTCACTCGTAAGCTCAGGGGACTTTGGGGCTGTCATTCTTTCCGATGCGATGAGTCTTTCTGCAGGTTGGGATGTATCGCGAGTCACACTCCAGGCATCGCCTGACTGTTGAACTACCTGACTCAGAAAGCCCACTTGGCTCGCCTTCCATAGCGAACGCACGCCCGGGGCTCCAAGTTGACCAAAGTGCCAAAACAAGCATAATCATAAGCCCGGGCCTCTCAAAAAGCGGCACATGCTGAGGTCGTGCACGAAGTCCTGGCCAAGGGCGCTGGCACGACAGGTAGAAGATTACGCTTGAGGGTCCACCTTGGTCCAGAGAGTTGTGTTTGAAGCAACCAGCCCCACTCTTTTGCAATCGCCTACCTGATACCCTCCGAGGAATCGTCCGCTGAAGGCTTCATTTCCAGGACATGTGGTCACTGGTCACAGTCGTTCCATTGAGCTAGACGTAGGCGTTTATAAGCTCCTACATCTCCTTTTTCCACAAGGTGCACCGTTCTTTCGACGTGACCCACAACTCCGCTGGCAGCGGCTAAAAGCCACGGCTTTTCTGCCTGTGCTCTTTCCCCCGTCGCGTATCACGAATCGGCTCGGGAGCTTGATATGGGTTGCTGTCCTCTGGACAGTGCTCCACGAGATCCCCCAACTGGTCCCGCATCTGGGCGATAAGAGGCTCCTGGACAGAAATGGGATGCAACTCGGGGCAGAGCTGGGACATCATGGGATCGGCATCCGGAAGTTTCGGTAAGCCTTGCGGTTTTGAGGTCGGCTAAGGTTTCCGGAACATTGCTCAGCATCACACTTATCGTTCTTCGAGGCCGTGGCTCCTAGCATTAGGCTTTGCTGGCACCGAATCGATTCCGCGAATTCCATGATGCCCCGGCCATTAGCACCGACAGCTTGCACGAGGAGAAGAGCCGCTTTCACCAAGAGGCTAGGGCGCCGTGGTGCTCGGTATTTGCGCTGGGTGGCGGCTGTGTAGAGCTTTCTTAGGCAAATGCCATCCTTTTCAGCGGTATCAATTCTGCAGTCTTTGTGTTTCATGCCATCATGCTACGGCTTCTCCTGAGTCTGATGTAGCAAGAACATGAGAAACCTGTGCATCAGTCTTAGTGTCTGTGTGTTCATCTTACTGCATTCAACGGGATTGTGCTTCACTGTGCTCTTCCTGGTGGTCCCATCATGTCGTTTTGAATGCTTGTGCTCGTCTCCTCTGTTCTCTTGCGGTAGGATGCCCTGGTGCCACGCTGCAGGATGGCTCGTCGTTGCTTTGGCTAGACCAAAGAACACATCGAGGCCTCATCGCTCCGAATCCACTCCAGCTCCCGATCCATTGCAGCCGAAGAACGAGCGATGCTCCGTGCTGTCTTCAATGCTTTGTTTTCATTTCAAGGCTACCCTGCATGTGCACACGCTCCCTGTGCAAGTCCAAGAGTTCGAGGCTTGGAGATGCAGACAAGTCGGATAGGTAGCAAAATCCAGGCAACGTGGTTGCTTTCAGATGTAGGAGTGCTTGCTTGAAGGAAGTTCTGCTTGGATGTCTGCGATATGCTACTGCATGTCTGCATCCTTGTGACTGTTCGGTGATGTCTCCCTCCAAGTCCTTGAGCCAAAGTCGCAGTCCCGAACCCTTCTAAACAAGATGTCGCCACAGCAGCTACACTCCTCAGTTGTCTTCAACCCGTCTCATTTGCACAGCTGGAGCGCGTCACTCATGTCTGGGCTCGCAGCATTCTTGAGCTTGTGATACAGCGAGTTCATGCTCTCACTACCACAGCCTGACGTCGGTCTGAGAACCTTCAACGTCTGCTAGACTTTTCAATTTTGAGTCTTGAGTCTCACTATGTTAAACTTCCTCATCCGTGCGCCGCAAGCGCTCTTGTTCGAGCACGTCTTCCTACTTGTCATCTCGCCATGCTGCAAAGACCATACTTGTTCTTTAATGAAGACTTCTACATCATATCGTCTCACCAAAATCTCGACTCAAATGTGGCCCACCACGTAATCAAGCTTCCTTCCTAGCGTCATTTGTTCGAAACCTTCTTTGAAGCAGCTGCCAAACTCAGGCGCTGATCCTTGAGGTCATGCAAGCAACATGCCCTAGCCCTCAGCACAGTCGGCAAGCCGAGAACCCCGGCGCGTATCCGAGACCCGATCTGCAAAGATTTCCTCCAGACCGCAGGCCCCCGGGCTTTCGGCTTTGAAGGCCATGGGGGGTGGCTGTAGCTAAGCTCAGTGCCATCACCAAGGACCTACCGTCTACACGTCGTACAGTTTTTGCCCAGAGCAAAGTATGGTCCCGCGTGTGGCAAGGAGAAAAGCACAGATGCACAAGCCTTCGTGTTGAATGCCTTCGTCTCTGCTTATCTCGTTCTCTGTGGCACATTCTCGCATAAACCAGGTTCTTGTCTGCTACGCACAAACTTGAGGATTTGGAAGATGGGCAACAACTTACAGCCACATTGAGGCCAAAACTGCGAAAAGTAGTCTGCGAAGCCTGCAACGCGGCGCTGAGCAAATCTACGATCCAGCCGCGTGGGTCCTGTTCAAAGGGCATATCCCCAGTCATCAAGATGTACCTGGCCAGCTGGATTTGGGGTTCAAGATACATACATACATACATACATACATCCATGCATGCATACATACATACATACATACGTACATACATATGCAACAACGAGAATTCATCCGCACATGGATTCCTACTTACCTACTGACCTACCCACCTACCTGACTAGCTAGCTAGGTACCTACCTACCTGCCTGCCTACCTACCTGCCTGCAGTCATGCATCCGTGCATGTATGCACACTGGCATACATGCATGCATGCATGCATGCATGCAGACATGCACACACAAACAAAGAAATACTCAGCAGCCTCTTGTGCAACTCAGGTTACGGACTCTCACGCCTCCACTGCTCTGCCTGTCGCTTCGCATCGCCATAGCACCACTCCTACTCCTACGAAAATGGAGGCTACTGCTGATGGACCTTGCTCCCATGCCCCCTCCCCCATTCCTTCTCCGACCCAAAAACACGGGCCGGCTTGCAAGATCACACCCACACTCCACAGGTCGGACCTCGGAGCACGATGTACCAGGACGGCATGGATTATATTTAGCCAAATTCTTAGGTTCTTGCAAGTGGCACTACATACCTACCTACTCATCCCTGCCCCTTTACATACATGCCTACGTACATAGATGCATGGACACATAGATACATGGGTACATACATGCATATGCATTCATTCATGCGTTCATGCATTCATGGTTTCATGCAGACATGCAGCTGGTGTGTCTCATTGCACAATTGCGCATGCTCTCAAATCAAGCGAGCTCAGATTCTTGGCATCCTGACACGGAGGTGCAGACTCAACAAACGAATCCTACACACATGGACTCGCAACTCCTTTCAACATCGCAAGCTCTTCAAGTACAAGTTTCGGAGTTGCAACGGGTTTAACAGAAACCAGGCAGCAACCCGCGTCTTGGTGCACTTAAACCTGTTCGAAGCAGAATCGAAGACTGCGTAAAGATCTGCCTCCTCCTCGAAGCCCAAAGTTCTGAAAATGATCCCGTCTCCTGGGTGCCCTGGCGCCGGGGAGTAGTCGCCCTGCAAGGCTTCCGGAGCCAAGTATCCTGGTCTTTGGGCAGACGGCCACTGAAGTGAGGCCATGCATCAAATTCTTGCGGTCAAGGCACCCAGAGTGCCCACGATGTGCCTCGCTCGCGGGCTTTTCGGCTCGTACCTCAAAATGCAGCGACGCTGCCCCTGTCCCCATGCGAAGCTCATACATCGACTCCTAGCGTAGCCACAGCTGGGCCGAGTGACTCCTGGCATGTGTCGAAGTCGATCAACTTCACGGCCCTGCCAGCAATGGGCAACCGAGCTGGGTGGTATATTCTTTCAGTAGCATGGACAGTGCCCTCGGTCATGAGGACGCGATCCACCCCAGGGCAATTTGTTTGGCGGCGTATCCGGGTTCGTCAGACATCGATTTTCTCGAGACTTGCATCTTCGCGGAAGCCCAATGCCAACCAACTCGACTCAACAAATCTTGTCAGAATCACAAAACATCTTGGATCCACAGCACCTTCCCGGGCAAGCCCTCGGATGCGTCTACGAAGCAGGGAGGGGGGCAACCATCCTCCCCAAAGCCCGAAGAAGCAGCAGCCCCCGAAAAAACCCTGCATTCGGCTCCCCAGGCTTCTTGCTCGCCGGCGTCTTTGGTGAGGCTGGCTCATTGGAGGTGTCATGGAACATGATGTTTTCTGGCCTGAGTGGGACTTGGCCGCTGCAAGTTTAGAGCCATGGGCTTTGAAGGAGAGGTGTCTAGCGACCTAGCGGCTCTGCAAGAAGAGAGCGGGCCCTCGGTTTCCGCTTACGCTTGGAGGACCAGACATCCGAAGATCTGAAGCGGAGTCTACCCGTCGTGATCGTGCAGCAGAGCCCCAAGAAGGATCCATGAAAGCAGCCCGAACTGGATATTTCTCTGCAGCTTTCTACCATCCCCTCCATCAAGCTGAGACTCTTGATGTCCCGGTGGATGAGACCCCTGATGCACGGCTCCGATCTAGCTTCGGAAGGAGCTTCACACTGCCGGCACAACAATATGAGACCGAATTAAGCTCACGGTTGTAGCTTGGAACGGGTGCAAAGTCCACTGACTGGATGCGTTTTAGACTACACCGCGTGGACAGCGTGACGCCACACTCTTGCGGCCTGGAGTGGATGTGGTCAACAGCTTCGAGAATCTCGCGCATGATGCGCTTGCACTCGCGCTCTGGCACATCCTGAAACAGTTAGGGGCTTCGAGATGGGCGCAGAGTGCATGAAACATGTGAGGCCAAAGTCATGTCATGTGCAGAGCTTTCGATCAACCCTCGTGGGCCAGGCTGTTTCTTCCCGTTTAGGCCTAAAGCGTTTGCGACTGAACACACTGTACATCTTTGAACTTTGCTATGTCACTTTGCAACCTTCCAACTTTCTGACTGTGTTCGTTTATCTCAACCATGAACCCTCCAACTGCCCAAGAGTTAAAGATCAAGGTCCACACAGTCTCCGTTTGTAGGAAATCGAAGAGCTCACCGCCACTGCAGCGTACCTCTCTGCATTTGCCGTGCAGCTCCCAAGCAAGTCTTGGAATTGCGGTTTCGGAAGCATCCAGAGGAGAGCTTGAAGTTCATTAAGAGGCTTCGATGGGGGAAGCGAGCTTCGCTGTTCGTTTTGCACGGACAGGCTTCACAATGGAAGACAAAAACCCTCAGGCTTGAGAGACTAATAAAGTGCTGCTTACCAGTAGCACGTAGACTCAGACTCGGAGTGAAAAGATGGACGAGCCCTGCGACGGGCACCATGACGATGTAGTAGCTGCCCGCATCCTGGATGACCTTGGCTGGGCGTGGCGCTCACCTCCCTGACATCTCCGCGCCACTTCACGCTCAACCAGTTTCAGCTTAGTTTGAGAAACTCGGGAAGCTGGCATCATGCAGGCCTAGGACGTTCTGATGGCCCTCGAGGTTCAGCCTTGGACGGGACTTGGAGCTTTCGGTGAGCAAGTGGGTATGTGGCTCTGGTGCAGGCGCTATTCAGTTATAAATGCTTGCTATTCAAAGCATCTTTGCATCAGTATCAAGAAAGACACGCCGCTAGGAGTTCCACGACTACAAACTGCGGTGTAGATTGCATTAGCAGGCCGCTGGCACAGTTGCACACGTCTGTCTGGCTAATCTGTTGAACTACCTACTACCTACCTGACCTACCTACCTAATTACCTACCTACCGACCTACCTACCTGCCTATCTATCTCCTCCATCCCTCTATCCTTCTATCCCTCTAACCCTCTATCCCTCTATCCCTCTATCCATCTAGCTAGCCAGCTGACTAGTTGGGTAGCTGGCCAGCTGGCTGGCTAGCTGACCATCTACATGGTGAGCTCTCTATGCAAAGCGACCTCGCTACTATCTATCTGTCTATCCATCTATCGAGCTATCTATCTACCTATCTATCGATCTATCTACCTGTCTATGTGTACATATATACAGTACATACATACACATACACATATATATATATACATATATATATATATTATGCAGCATCCAATCTATGTGTCTCATCTATCTACCGACCGACCTATCTACCTAGCCACCTAGCTGCCTGTCTACCTATCTATCTACCTACCTACCTACCCACCTACCTACCTACCTACTTGCATCTAACCTATATGTCTTATCTATCTACCGATTGATCTACTCATCCATCTACCTATCGATCTACGTGATGCTTAAAGGTACTTGCATGTGTTTCTGTATGCTTTTGCTCCCATGCGTCAATCGACACTAAAACAAGCTCAAAAAATGCAAAAGAGCATGCATGACGACACCTCTAGCAGCTGCCGGCAATTACCTGCCACTGCTTCAGTCACGACTCAAAGAACGTATCCGTATAACCCAGCATGACAGCCATCTACACCGTGCATCAGAGGAGCATCCGCGTAAGAAGTGACTGCCAGACCTCGTCGCATGCTCAGGTTCAGTCTGTTCACCGCCGTGGCTTTGCGGCTGAAAAGATTGAGGTTTCGGTTGAGCGTCATTTCTGGCTCCACGGCTTCACCACGACATGGATTCCGTCGCCCCTAAGATCTCACCTAGAGGGGGGGGACGCTGGATGCCAGTTGCAGCAAGCTCATGCACGCCATTCGACAAACATTGACATGATCACATTGGAAACAGGAACCCCTTTCAACAATGGACATCCCGAGTAATGGATCACGTCATTGCTGTACATGAAGCTCTGGGGTGCCTCACGAGTCACATGCCAGAGCATTCAGCACGGTTTGCTTTGCAAAAACGCTGCACTTCAGCAGCCGCAGCAGAACCAGAGATGTCGGCCACTAACCAGCGCTCCACCCCACCCGCCACCCACCCCCACCCCGAATGTCCAAATGGAACCATCAAGGCATCCTGATTCAGAGCGCACTTCTTCGTAGGCTCTCCTGATCCGAACCAGGCCAAGCTAGAGCACAGGGGGAGCAGAAGACCCTGAGGCCCCATGAGGGTCTGAACATCCCTTCTCGACAAGAAAGGCAGTTCAAATCCCAGCAAGTTCGAGGCTTCGGCCACCTCCCCGTTCGGGGCGAACCGCCTGCAGGCTACCCAGTGATTCGTCAGGATACGAACCACGATGCTGAGAACGGAAAAATCAACAGGAGATCGGGGGGAATGGCTTGCGCAGCGGTTCTAGCATGTCTTCCGGGTCAGCTTCGACAACGAGACACGTCGTAGCTGTGCAACTGAAGCTGCGTGCCTCCGGGAAGCTGCTTGCGTAGATCCCTCGTGATCTGTTTCAACACATGTCCCAAAAATATCGAGACACCAGCCAGATCACCCTACACGAAAGCGAGAAATGTATCATGATCTTGAGACCCTCGGCTGGCCTGGAGCGTACCTTCACAATCCTTAGCGACCCGAGACGACTTGCTGACGAATCTTGCAGACGGCAGTCCAACGAGAGGCAGGCGGATGAAACCTGGGTGCCTTCATATTCATCGCCTAGAGAGCCACACCGCGCGATGGCCCCCTTCAACAGAATTTGCCTTTTTACGCAACCTTGCTGCTGCACACTTCCGGAACTGCTTCCTCTCAGGACTCATGAAGAGATGTGGTCCCCCCGCTTTTGGAACTCATCTCTGCCTGCGAGTCTCCCAGGTTCTGAATCCGAGCTCAGCTGAAGATCCCAAGCCCCAGCCCTCCGAAAACTCGGAAGCTCTGAAGTCCAGTATTCTGCCTCCGCAGAAACACACACACACACTGTGAAAACCCCCCCCCTCCCCCAGTTTCTCTGTTTGCAGACCAGTGGGCAGGTCCTGACCCGTGGATTTGCAAGTTGCCTTCCAGACCTGCGTCTGGCCTCGGCTTTTTATATGACGCGGCCACTCCTGCAATCTCATGGGGGGGACTACCAAAAAGGATCTGCTCTTTTAGTCTTTAGGGTTTAGGGGGTTTAGGGCCTCCAAGCTCGGCGGCAAAAGCACTCGGGATCCCGCCACCTCCGGCTTCATGGAGACACTGAAGGAAGTCGAACTCATCCTCGCGCGGAACGGGGTTCCGGCTGTGGGCTCTCGTGGCTTCTTGGGGGTCATACTTTTAGGGACGCCTGCTTGGACTGCAAATGCAATGACCACACTGAACCAATAAAACAGATCATTTGCGTTCATTTGCGGCAGTTGATGAGTCTTCTCTTCGGTGCTCCTTGATCGTCTGGCCAGGTGGCAGAATCCTGAAGATGCCACGGGCCAGCTGTTGAGGATATCAGGGGCATTGCATGCTGAAACAAGGCTTCTGCTCAGGATCGAGCCTAAGGGAAAGACTCAGACCCTGATCCTGACCTTGTGCTTAGCAGCGCTGGATAGGACCAGCCTTATCGTCCGCGTGCCGGCGACATCGACTGGCGCTGCCTGAAGAAAGCATGTCTTTTTCTGCTGGGTGCACACGTAGGCTCATTGGGACTGATTCTCCCAAAGACATGGCTGACATGGCATCCCTCGGCTTGCGATGCAGGACTCCAAGACCTTGCGAAGTGCAACCCGCGAATCATGATGCAAGGCTCTATCTATCTATCTATCTATCTATCTATAAACATAGCTGTCAGCACAAAGCTCTGAGGCCCTGTCCTTGGCCACCTGCAGAGTTTGGAAGGCACCGGCACGGCGCTCGGCCAAGGACTTTCCTCTCAGGCGGACGGCTTTGCTCAGACGGACGTGCGGAATGCGGAGCCTCCTGAGCCTCTTGAGGCGTTTTTCCGATCGAGTGGAGTTTTGGAACTTACAGGGAAAGCCAACACATCGAGGATGGACGTCATGATAATGTGCGCCCTAGCAGCTTGCTTTTGTTTCTCAAAATGAAACAGCATAGTGTGTTGATCA